GTGCAGCGTAAGTGTTTTACTTTCGGTCGTGTTATCGCAGAACATNCGGGGGGTATTTGGCAGGGCTGCCCTCCGAGCACGGGCTCTTGAGGAGGTCGCAGCCGGAGTTGTTGCCCCACGCCATCGGCTCCGCCATCCCCCACACGGCCTTGTAGTAGCCGAGGTCCTCGAACGCCGCCATCGTCAGCGCGGTGTAGAGGCCGGCGGTGACCCCACCGAGAGCGCTCATCAGCTCGTCCTTCGCGTTGCGCGGTGACCAGTAGGGTTGCACCGCACCGTCCATCTTGTGCAGCTCCATGCCATTGAGAGTGTCACAGCCGTAGTGCGCCTTAGCTTTTTCCAGCGTAGCAGGCGACTTCACCACCGTCACAGGGTTGGGGTTGCCGCGCACATTAGTGACGTTCTCCAACAACATGCCCCGCGCCCTCATCTGCTGCACGCTGAAGCCAAGCGCATGAGCGATGGCCTGCGCAGCGGCGCGGGCAGAGTGCATGACAGACAAATGTTGAAAAGGCGAGACATGCAGCGCACCGGCAACCGGACGACCATTTGACCCAAACGCACACGGGACCGCCCACGTCTCGTCACTCGCCCCGGCAGCCACGTAGAGCACCATGTCCGCATTGGCAACTCCCGTTGTTCGATGCTCATCGGGGACTTTGAAGTGCCGGCAACGCCCAGACGTGTCAGTGAACTCGGGCACCTGCAACGGGCCCTGCACGCGCTGAACGAGCAGGCGCTCCGCGTGCAGCTGGACAGCCACAGGGATGACCTCGTTCACCAGGGTGCCATTCCAATCCGCGGTCAGAACGTACTGATCTGCACAAACCTCAGTCCTGCCCTTAAAGTCCGGCTTCTCCTCCCCGTCTGCCCTGCAGTACTTTGTTTCGTCCTCCAGGTCCTTCGTGGAGACCACGATGCGGATGGGCGCCCAGCCCTCGCTGCTCGTTTCTCCTGCCGCCGCTACTGCTGCGGCGACGGTGTACGCCTGCGCCGCGCCCTGCCCCCTCCGCGGCACCTCACGCACCACCGCTGCCGCCGGCCGTCCCCTCCTCGGCACCGTGTCGTCGAACACCCGGCGGTGTGCAGCGGCGCGGCACCCACCTGGCGCAGTGCATCGCGAGCAGCAGCAGCAGCAGTGGGAGAAACGGCGCGGCGCGGAGTCGGCGGTGCATGGCGTGAGAAAGGCGTGTGTGTGCCTGAGTTTGGCGAAGAATGACTGCAGTGGTGGTAGCGCAGCGCTTGTCTGCGGGAGGGGAATGAGAAAAAGGGGAGGAGGAGGGAAGGGCTGCTGCAGGCACGAGGAGGAGGAGGAGGAGGCAAAGCCACACATCCCCGCGGCGCCGCGGCACGACGGATTTTGGCGCCTCCGCCTCCGGGCATTTACTCCCGTCCGCCGCACGCACGCACGGCGCTGAGCAGGCAGAATCACTGGACAACAAAAAAACAGCCGATTGAATCCAAAAGAAAGTTGCCCTCCTCCTTTGCAGAGTGCATCGCACACACACGGGCAGCAAAACGTGTGCGGAAACCTGAAACACACAAAAACAAGCGGAGAAACAAAAAAACAAACAAACCCCGTGAAGTGAAGCCGAAGCGAGGGGGCGCGTCCACCGAGCAGTGGGGACGCGCAGCAACACATGGGACGACCAGCACACACACGTTCTCTCTCTCTCTCTGCTCCCGCACAGCCCAATCCAGGAAGAGATAGAGAGGAAGCAAGAGAGGTCGCCCACTGAAAGCAATAAAAACAAACAAACAATAAAAAGGACAAAAACAGTTACGGTGCTGTACCCATGCAGCCAAGCAGGACGGCAGCGGCTCGTCGGGTGCAAAAGAGGAAGAAAACCGACGGGCCTGCATGAGTGGAGTTGGGTATGGTTATACGAGCACATTATGTGTGTGTGCCTCGTGGAGTGCGGCGAGAGCGAGAGAGTCCGTGTAGGAGAACACGGAAATAGAGGAAGAAGGACGAGATGTGTGTACAGACCTCTCACTCAGTCTCTCACGCGGCCAGCACCGCAGCGGCAGCCGCACACGCAAGCAGAAGAAGCAGCGCAAAGGGGGGGGGGGCGGAGTGCGAGGCCGCGGTGCTGCTGCCGTCGCTGTCGCCGGGCTCCGCCTTCGCTGCACTCGTCGAGTTGGCGGTGGTCGCCGCTTGAGAAGCCGCCCCCGCTGCCGGCTGAGTGGCTTTTCCTCCTCTCTCGCCACTCTTTTCCGTTTCCTGCTTGGGTGTGGTGACTGCGGGCTGCTCCTGCTCTCGCTGGCCAGCTTCGTTTGTCCCCACTGAACTCCCCGGCTGCGGCTGCGTCGCGGGGCTGATGCCGCCGCCACCGTCAGTCGTAGTCGCTGCGTGGCTGGTCTCGGTGGCGGTGCCCTCTGCTGGCGGCGGCTCCTTGTCGCTGCTCGTCGGTGTGCCAGCGGCAGTTACACCTTGCTGTTGGGCTTCTGGGGCTGCCGCGACAACAGGCCCTGTAGAATTTTTGACAATCGCCTCAGCCTGCTTTCCAGCCTGTTCGCTTGAAGTGCCACCGCCGCCCGAAGGGGCAGTGGGTTGAGCTGCATCCACTGTACTTCCAGCCGGTGTATTACTTGTAACAGCTGGGGCAGGGACTGCTTCTTTGGACCTATGTTCCTCTTCGCCGCCGTTATTGCCATCACTGGGCAGACTCTCCTCGACAACTTTTTCCTTCGAAGGAGCCTTCTCCGATGTCGTCCCCTTCCCTGCTTCCCCTGGTCCTTCAGTTGGCGTTGGCGTTGGCGGCTTTGGTAGTGTCGAAGGCCCCTCCGGTTGCCCTGTCGACAGTGCCGATGGCACTACGACATCGGGCCCTGGAGTGCCGTTGCCGTTCTTTCCATTCGGTTCTTGCGCCTTACTGCTGTCGGCAGCAATCCCGTGAGTTTGAGAGACGGTCAGTAGAGCTGTTTCCGGTTCACCTCCAGCTGACGTACTGTTTGTGACGCCCGCCGGGCCCACAAGTTCCTTGCCGACCGAATCAACGCCGGCGCCCGCCTCTTTTTTAGGTTTCCCTGTTTATGGCTGTGAGAGCTCTGTTGCCGTGTCTGCCGTTGGAGTTACCTCTTGTGGTGCGTCTGGTCCCTTCAGGTCTTCCGTTTCCCCCGAATCTGCAGGCTTTTTCTCTGATGCATCTTCGGCGTCTTCCCCCGGGGGTATCGGAGCTTTTCCTTCGACATCGCCGCTCCCCCCACCGTGGCCAGACACCGCCCCCTCCGCCTCCTCCGCCCCATCGCCCTGCAGACTCGCCCGCAGCCCACGCACAAACTCCGGCTTGCGGCCGCAGTACTTCGCCGCAATTTCCGCCTCACTCATGCCCTTCGCGACGGCCCGCAAGTCCCTCCAGTCGCGCTCCGTGCAGTAGTCCCCCTCCGCCGCCCAGCCCCCGCCGGCGGCGCAGCACAGCACGCAGAGGGCGCACACCAACAGCGCACGGCCAGCCATCGCCACACTCCTCCCACCGCAACACACACACACGCACAGCGTCTAGCGAGAGGCA